GTAAAGTTAGCGCTCGCAAAAGATCATTTCGGCCACTTACTTCACCAATACAAGGAATGTGCAAGTAAAAAGGGTCACATGAGCGGTAATAATTATTTCAATATTACCATTTTATAAAATCATATTTATTTAAAACATCAGGGGCCTGAGGTTCGAAGATCTTGATGCACGGGTGTCACCTGGAAGGGTTCACTTATAAAAACTGCATGCATATTAAAATGACCCATCTGTTCTTCACCATAGCTAGAATTACATAACTATTAATAACGAAATCCGCTCTTCTGAATTTGAATATTTATCATGCAGAGGCCACACCTGAGATCCAAGAGGTGGCCTTCAAAAACGAAATATGATATATATGCATTTGTTTGAATATATATATATATATATATATATATATATATATATATATATATCGATTTGTTTGAATTCGTTTGAAACTTTTAAACTGATTTTTTAAAACTTTATTTCTATTCACACAATTGTCTCTCTCTCTCTATTCTTTGTTTCTGCAGTATATAACTAATTTTTTTTTGGCATCACTGTTCTTCTTGGCGGTGCAATCGAGTTGAAACAAAAAATTATTTGACATTCATTACTCTATCAAGATGACAGCCGAACTTTGAATAGTATGAAAGGGCTGTCAAATGAATAGGCTTAACTTAAAGGTCCAACACGACAAAATAACTATCAAATATGCTTTATGATCTTGCTGAAAAGACCAGTCAAACAAAACGTAAACAAACATGTCATAAATTTTGTGAGGTGGGCACTACCCACGATTCACGTGCAATTGTTGTAATGAGTAAGTTGGACCTATATGTATATTCGACAGGAATAGACGCATGTTCAGTTAACCTCTGTCAAAACAACGGGGTATGTGAGAATGTGCTTGGATTCCCCCAGTGTTTATGTTCCCAGGGATTCTCCGGTGATAAATGTCAGTATGGTGAGTGCGAAATAATTTGTATGAAATAATTTTTGCTTCAACTGATTAAATAAGGGAGTCAAACTTCTGAATGTCCAAAACTAAGATTATTTTCAAATGCTCTTTCTATTCGGCAGAGGGATCGAAGGCCTTCCTGAAACGAGCCCGAGTGATAAAAAAATACTTTTATCGTTTCAATTTTCTTTAAGATGTCGACGACTGTGCCAGAAACCCCTGTAAGAACGGTGGAACGTGTGATGACAGAGTTAATGGGTTCCAGTGCACGTGTTTAGCGGGCTATACTGGAACCACGTGTGAAACGGGTATGAGCAGGCTGGGACCCATATAATACTCGTGTGCTGGGTCAACGGCACAGATGATTATTGAACTAGAAATATGTCGATTTTTTTAATAGGGGTGGATTTTGTATCTAAGTATATATGTCAGGCTTCTTCTAACCTAATACAGTTTGTTTATTTTTGCATTTTAGATATCGATGAATGTACCAGCAAACCCTGTAAAAATGGTGGGACCTGTGTGGACAAAGTTAATGGGTTCCAGTGCACGTGTCTAGGGGGATACACTGGAACCACGTGTGAAACGGGTTTGTACAGATGGTTGTTGAAAGGGGAATTTGGCATGGGGATGTGAATTTTCTTACTAAAAATATGACATCGCAGTGCAAGTGCCAAATACATGTATACTGTAATAAAATATTCACTATATCAGTATACCTATGTTTTTAGATATCAACGAATGTGCCAATAAACCTTGTAAGAACGGTGGAACCTGTGTGGACAGAGTTAACGGGTTCCAGTGTACATGTTCATCAGGCTATACTGGAATCAAGTGTGACACGGGTTGGTATAGCATTGGACCCTTTAGACTCTATACTCGTTCGATGGGTTAACGACAATGATGATTATTTAGCGAAAACCATGTCGATTTTTTAAAATAGGATGGTATTTGCATTTAAAATAAGTATAAGGCTTCTTCAGACTTAAAGGGATAATAACTGTTTGTTTTGGCCAAAAAATGAATTTTCTTGGAGTAAACAACAATTTTCCCATACTAACCAATGGTTAATGAATCCATTTCTACATTCAAAGTTAGTCCCTGTTTTTTTCAAAAAAATTTTTTTTTTTTTTTTTTTTTTTTTTGTAATAAGAGATTATTACAGAGTATAGCCATCTATGGAGGTTACGTGGTCTGATGACAAGTTCAGATATCAGAATAATAGCTACAACTGCCGTTTTTGTGGTAAAACAGAATATATTGTATTTCTATGAGTTGTTTACAATGTTTTTATTGTGGAATATAGATCTCATACAAAGAGTTATGATCCCTTTAATACACAGCAATATATATTATGTTTATTTTTGTAAATGGGATATTGATGAGTGTGTGGATCATTGCATGTGTCCAGTGGGCTTGGTTGGAAAGAGGTGTGGAAGTAAGTGCAGATAGGTTTAAGAATAATGCCAACAGTTTACTGTAATTATTTGTATACGTGTATTTATTCTTCCTTTTCATTTATTCATTCATTTATCTATCTAATAATGTATATATTTATTTAACCAACTTGTATATTCATTGAGCTATTTATCCATTTAAATGAATGTTTTATATTTCAGTCAACTTTGCATTCGAAGTGATTGACACGAGGAACGTCACGTATAAAGGACTGCAGTTATTGGCTGTCAAGGTCCGCGTACCGGCAAATGGTAAAAGTGCATCGACCGATTGGTGTTACGACTACCGTAATATGTGTCAGTCATTTGGGCGCAGACCAACTGGGTGTGGTGTTTATTTTAGAAACGTAACTCCATACGGCAGGTAAAATTTGTTTACTTTTTTAAACCAGTTCATTTTTTCACTGTGGCGTTTTCTGCTTTAATAAACACTAAATCTAATGTCTAAAGCTGGGGGGGGGGGGTGCTCCAAAATTTAAATCAATTTAATTTTTAGATGCAAATTCACATAAATTTTAAGACAAACATAATTCACATTTGGATTTGGATAATAACTGCAGTTTCTTTTATTATAAAAAGTACGGATGAGAACATCGAAATGACTTTGTTGATAAGAAATCCATCTCCATCAACGAACTGACTTTTGACCACACTGAAAATTTGGTCATTTTTATACTGGGTATAAGTATTTATGAATCAAAGTTAAAGTTTTTGTATTTTAAAATATTTGATTTTGATCAATTCAGTTAACTTATAAGAAATGTTGCTGTCGTTTATTCTACAACCATGTTTCCCCGACTGTGACATGTTTGTTTATGGCCAGCATTTTTTTTTTTTTTTTTTTTTTTGAAACAGATGGGGGTGTTTAGTTCCATCATCATGAAGTCTGTACTATTTTTTTAATTGATGAAACTGGCTTACGTCGTCCTCTGTAAGCAACCTAAATTCCTTTGCAGTGTAATTTACAATCATTGACAGACTCGAAACTATCTCAGCACATGTCAGACTTGATGGCGCCGTCCTCCTCTCTTCTGGTCTTTTTAATTTTCTTATGCTTTTTTTAAAGCATTAAATTAAAATATTTGGTGGCTATTACAGGCAAAATTACTATGGAATACTACAAGGAAATCTGCCCCAGGCTTTCATTCTGTACAGTATTAGATGATTTAATACACTTCTTTGTTAATAACTGCAAATTATGTTTGGTTTTCAATTTATTAATACGATAATTTTCGAAATAGAAAATCTCACAATCACAGACCTTGTTTCTAAATGGAATTCAATCTATCGCCGATAACATTTCTACTTCTGTGAAAGGGGGTGAAATGTAGCAGAATGTGCCAAGGATCAATTATGTCAGGAAATAAAGGGTACCGGAGGAGATTTGCATTGGTCAGAATTGTTCCGGAAGTGACGTATAGTGGTGTAAGACGTATAGCTGAGTGGTCATTTTTAGCTGGAAGTGAATGGGAATGAAGACGTGGGCCTGGAGAAAAAAGCAGTTATTCTAACAACACGGTGAAATAAGAGGCTGTCAGAATGTCACCTTTGTCTTGGCATTTGTCACTGATAAGTGCCTACCCCGGTGTAAAGGTGTATTAGTGTGATCATATGTGCGGAATTTCATGTCAGATGGACATATTAAGATCTAAAAATTCGTCACAATATTAAAAAAAAAGATATATCTTTGCACAGCAGTCGTACGACTCAGTTGTAAGATACGAACCACTTCCTGGTTTTCACAAGGTCCTTCAGGAACTCTAAAACATCATTATAATTGCAGCACATACCATAAAACACCCAAAAATACTTAGATCTGGACATATCAGATTATATAAATGCCAAAATTCCACGTGACAACGATTTATAGTCTCCCGGGAATTCTTTTCCCTTGACGCTCTTTGTCGCGCTGGCGGTCGATGCAGCATGTATTTCAAAAGAAATTGACTGCAAATTTAGCCCGAAATTGCACCTTCAAGTTCCGTGTCACGTTTTCATATCATGTGCCTATTATTTCTACAAGTATTCTCTGCCCAAAATGCGTAAAGAAGAAATGTCATCTTACCATGTTGTTTGAAAAACTGCTTTTTTCTCCGAGTCCATGTCTTCTCTCCCGTTCACCTCCAGCTAAAAATGACCACTCAGCTTCGCGTGACCACTTGACGTCACACTTCCGGCACAATTCTGACCAATGCTGATCTCCTACGGTACCCTTTATGAAAGATGATGACAAAGTCAATTTTTTGTCACAAAAACCAACCAAATGCCAGCATATAGTTTCAAGTAGTATAACTAAGAGAATTACCAAAAGACATTGATTAATTTTACCCAAAAATGATGTTTGAACTGATTTTTCTGCTGGCATTCTAAGCTGTATGTCAAAGGGGCAGAAAAGTAGGACACGAAAGTAGGTTGAATTTACAACTAAAAATTTAAAGAAAGGAGCAGTCTAAAGGTCTTTTATGGCTGATCGAGTGATCTATTCAGTTTATCCCTTGGCATGTCGAATTTATTTGAGTCAAATAAGAATCTAGTAGAAGTGGTTTACATGTGTTACTGGGAATCCACGCTCCACCGATGCTCGGTTCGTATGTACCTTCAAATGTACCAAATGAGTTCATTTAATCTTTCATCAATAGCTAATATTTGTTAAATTAAATGCGTAGTAGTTCGGAAGTGTTTGGTCTATGATCAGTTTTATTGTATTTTTATATATAAGTTTAACTTTATAAGGAGATGTTATTTTGTTTATGTATCTATTCCTATACATAGACCCGAATGTGGTACATGTGCTTTATTGTACATGTTGTCAAGAGACGATTGTATTGTTTTTCAGGTGTCGTGACGTATTACCGCTCTACATAATTTCCAATGGCGTGTTGTTTTGTATTCTAGATGCCATGATGTGTATTCGTCCTACATGCCGCCCAACGATGAGCTGAGTTGCAGCCCTGCTAGTCCTGTTTATCATATAGCTAATGATGCTTTTAGAGTCCCCATATCCGGGAGCCAGTGTTTTGCTTTTCATCGCTGCCAGTCTGGGGATTGCTCCTCGACCTTTGCTTCTTCAGGTGACGCACTTATGAGCAGCGGAGGCATCATGAGCAGTAACGATCGCGTGGGCTACACTGTGTGCTATTAATAGTTCGTTGGAAGTACTACCACTGACAGGTGTCTTTTATTAACTATTGATTCTTTTCCTATTCTTATTTTCAAATTACCAATTAATAGGTCTAATAACTTTGAGGGAGGTTACAGGATACTTAATTACTAGTATGATTACAAACTGAGAACTAGTGGCTTTCAAAGCAATTCCAGATAGAATGTTAGGAGGTCGTAGTTGTATGAGATACAGCAAATTGAATTTTAGAAGTAAAGATTTATCTTGACAAAAAATTATTAAAAGAAATAAACGGCTGATAAAAAAATTGATGAATGAGTTAAAGGGATAAATAAGATTAATGAATGTGCTTCAAACTTCGATTTCTTTTTTCATTGAAAAGACTTCATAACACCATGTCCTTCTCAGATAGTTTACTAACGATGGGTATTTCCTCTCTATGTGGTTGAATGGGGCACGGGGGTGTAAATGTGTGCATTGCGTCGCTGATTGGAGACTAATAATTAAAAAAGTTTACCTTTAAGCATCCAAAATCTTAAGTAAGTAATTTAGATGTGGTATAGTTACCTATTGAAGAAAATTTCGGCTTTGGTATTGCTGTAGTACAAATTTTAAAAATAAGGTAAAATAAACCTTATCTAAAATGTAATGAATTAAGATAAACCATAAACTACTACCTTACCGGATATATCAATAGGGCAAAACTGACCAGTCTTAAGAAGCCACATTGCGTTTTGGGATACTTCATATCTCCAAGGAACAATGCAATGTTTTAACATATGTTACGTATTACGTATACTCCTGGCCCTTATCAAAAATTAAATTTATAGTTGGTGAAATTCACTAGTTCGTTTGTAGCACAACGAACTGATTTATTAAAGTTAAATCTAGCATTAAGAAAGAAGCATTGACTAGCTTGACTGAAGCATCACTTTAGTCTTTAAGAAACTTTTGGGTTAAACCTTCTCAGCTGAAGATAAGGCGGTCAAGAGAAAGTGTCTCGTCATATTTCTGCCCTTTCAGTCATTGTCTCTCAAACAAAGCTTCACCTTTCTCGCAACTGAATATAAAGTTTCTTGTCCCTTATAGCATGGAAACCGGTATCATACAAAGATATAGAAATATTCTGTGAATAGGGCGAAAGAATCAATCATACGCCATTTTTGACCAGTTTGTTATAAATTGTGAGAGGGAAGAGCTCGAGGCCTACACTAACGCATTTTTATAATACACCAGATACTCAGTACGTTTTTCTACAAGAGTAGACATGTTTAGCCAACTTATGAAAGACCAAAGGGACAGGCGAGAGCTTTCTTGGTTTTCTTCAGTGTTTTTGTCAGGATTCACCAGATTAACAATTAAATGATGAATAAATGACAAATTTCAGCACGGTAAGTATGAAGTAATATGAGTAAAATTTATTTTTATCAAAGTAAATCAATTGATAAGAGTGGCAGAAATTTCAGAAAGTCTAAATCTGTAGTTATTGATGCATTTGCATTATCTGCAAATTGCAAATATCTTGAAATAATGGTAATTACTCTCAGATCTAGAGACCACATCCCTCTTCCCGTCACAAATAATTTTAGTAAGAAGAATTATTTATCATTTAACCAGTTGTCACGAACATGGATGATATGGTCATTGAGACTATAATGCTATCATTTACTACTGCTTTAGCCATGTCTTCAACATGTAATTACGTCTTTAGTTCAATCGTAAAGATAACGCAGTGCCCAGCCACCCCA